CTTCAGCATCTTGTTTTCTTTTTCACCACCGTTTAAACGTCTTCATCATCTTCCTCCTCTCTGTCCTGCCATCGTCACCTCGATGTCCTCATCCTCGCCTTCGCTCCATGTACAGTAACGCTGACTCACCCTGAGGATTTACTGGATCAATATGAGATCACTCATGATGTCAGCAGGTGTCTCGCATTACTTTGGTTACCTCTCAGCGTTGAGCGCCGGACGTCCGCAGAGATCAGAGAACCTCGCTGGGACTCGCAGTGCAAATTAAATAAAAATGCAGTAACTAAAAGATAACTGTGGATGCTTCTGCGTGTTTATATTTGATCCTTTTTCCATTTTTGATTTCTTCATGTTCTCACCTTTCTGTCTGCATCTTTTCTGGGGGAATATCGAGGCGTTCCCAGAAATAAGCTCTGGCTCTGTCGAGGGATCGCCTTCTGGCTGGATTGCAAAAAATCCTCAGTTGGCTCCTTCTGATGTAGAGCAGTGGCTCCTCACAAATCTCTGTGGCTTTTTTAATACTAACAATTCCTTATTTACTTATTGCATTACAATCCTATAATAGTTGCTGGTATTATGAAGGCGATAATGATAATATTAATTCATTTATTCCGTTTTATCATGAACACATTTGCTACATGTGATCCATCATAATTTTAGAATTTATCAAACTTTTCTGTTTCCTGTTTGTTGTTTGATTCGTTATCATCATTGTTTGTTTGTTTGGTTATTTTTTATACTAAATAAGAATAAATGCAAACAAAGCCCCCAAATTGTTTTGTTTTATGGAGGAAATGAAGCAATATGTTGTTACATTGTTGTTCACTAAAACTAAAACCTTTTAATTTTAGTGTATTTAATTTATATTTATAGGCACTGATTGAATTTCCATGAAATGTCCCAATAAAAAAGTGCGATGTAAGCTGTAAAGCACTGACATCATGCTGAGATACTCTCTGTTTAACAGTAAACTCTTTGCTTCTGATGTGTGACTGAAGACATTTTGACTTGTGAAGTTTCAAACTTCCTGTTTAAACTTTCTGCTGGTTCGTGCCTCAGATCAGACAGCACAACGGAGACACCACAGAAGAAGAAGAAGCGAAGTAGAGAGAGATAACAAGGGGAGCGCAGACTCTCAGTCATTAGGTGAATCTGGAGCATTACGTCATGTCAGAAGACACCCACCCTCCCCTTCCTCCTCCTCCTCATCGTTCACCCTCCTCCTCCTCCAGCGCTTCTGTGCAGCATCCGAGCTCCCTGATTGGTCCCTCGTCCAGTGGCCTATAAATCCCATTGGCTGATGGGAAGTCAGCTGCCGCGGACCTGACAGAGGACAGGAGGGAGAGAGGGAGGGATCCTTCAGATAAAAGCGCCAGCAGCAGCAGGACTCGGCCCGCCCTCATCTGGATCACCAAAACATCAGCGGACCGGAGAACCGCCCGCTTCTACCGGACTCATTCCGCCCGGGCTCTGTGAGGCTCTGCCCGGCTCTGTGAGGCTCTGCCCCGGGCTGTGTCTGCAGCTGCGGCTGGGAGCAGGAGAAGCAGCAGGCGGAGGAGCAAGGTGAGAACATGGGCGTCTGTCCTCACTGGAGCACGGAGCTCTGCAGGGACACCACAGTGAGACGGAGGGACGAATCATGAATCAAACCCGGGGTTTAATCCCGGGTACTCACCTCAAAGTTTAGCATTTCTTTATTTTCACAAAGAAAAAGAGTCGCTGCTGCGAAACACGAGCTTTGTTCTTAAATGAGCCGAAATGCAGCTCGATGCTGATGACACTGAGTGATAAAGAGAGAAACGATGAACGGGACTCTAATCAGTCTCTGTGTTCACTGCACTGTGCAGGAAAAGTCAACTCCAGTCTTCAGGCATTGTTAATTTTTAACTTTAAGAGTTTTAGATATAAAACATGAAATCAAAACTACTTACAAAAAAATCGGGTCTCATGTGGTGTCTTTTTAAAGTTTATACAGGTGTGTTATTCTTGTTGTCTCTTGATTGTGCTACACAATCATTTTATGAAGTTTGGGTTTCGAAGCAAAAGTCCAGTTTATTCAGGGATCATGGGAACTGTAGTGTTTGCTATAAAATGAATAGAAAGAGTGTTTTTGAAGAAGCCCTGTCCCCGGCCATCCAAAGACTGTATATAAAAGATGGAAATTGTCAGGACTTCTCATTTAAAAAATGTTCCAGCAGTACAAACATGGTCGAGAGGCCTGGTTCAGGGATTTTATTTAGTTTTTGGCAGTTTCGTCTTTCAGCCCGTGAGGTTGAGCCTCGGTCTGCAGTGCCTCCACATTTTTATCAACATTATTATTCCAGATGTTCTTGCAGATCTTTTAATAAACTGTGTTTGCTGCTTTGATCCGTCTGCACTTTTTATGGGCTGATTGACAAAGTTTTAAGACTTGGTGTCATGGTCCCTGGTATTTTTGTTGTGTTTGTTTTTACGGTTGTTCTTTTTCTTGCTTTTTATCATCTTCCACACCTTTTATTAGTATCACCTGTTTGTTTCCACCTGTGTCTCACCTGTATGTGTAGCTTGCTATCCCTCTTTCCTCCGGTTCCTTTTTATTAGATTCGAGTTTTGTTTGTTGGATTTTGTGTTTCTTTGGGTTCTTTTGACTCCGCCCCCAGTGTTTTATTGGCGTTCAGGCTCGTGGGTTCAGTTTCAGGGTAGCAGTTTGAGTGTGGGCCAGGTGTGCAGTTTTTGTGGTGCTGCTTTAAGACTTTAGTCATTCTTTTGTTTTAATTAGGTTTGTATAATTTATTGTGTTGTGGGTAAGATTGTTGCACCACTTAAAGTAAAAATATTTACTGGGTTTATAATGTAGATTTGACGTCGTCAACAGTAATTTTGACTCACTCCATCTCCTTGCATGTGTATTTTCAGTCTAATTAATTCCCTAAAGATGAAACAAAACACTAATTTTTTCGAGCTATTTAAGTTTATTATAGATATCTCGTGTAAATGTTTTACCCGTCAGTGGCAACTCTTCTTTTCTTTAGTCAGACTGGCGTTTCAGTGTCGGGCCAGCAGCAACTACTTTCTGGCTTTTTGTGCAGCTTTTAATCAAAATCCATCTATATAGTCGTCATCATCCGTCTAAAACGAAGCTCCCTCGTCTCATCTTCCTCGGGAGACGTGAACCTCTGGCATTTTGATGCAGATTCAGACAGAAAGGAGGATGGCTTGACTTATTGTTGCATAATAGATTTTTCTGAATGAAAGTAGGTCAGAGAGTTTCTGCACTTCAGTCGACTTGATTTCACATCCACAAGGTTTCCACAGCAACACCGACTCAGCTTTATGTAATCACCTCTTACCTCTTCGACTCTCAGTTAACCCTCAGGTTTATTTTCCACAGAACGACTGCAGCAACACGCTCGCAGTGATTCAGACAGGTTAATCCGTCCCTTTGTGGTTGTTTTGTGTCTCTTTGTGGTTGTAGAGCAGATGAATTTAACCGAGAGACACTGAAAAGTCCCTGCAGCAGTGCAGAAGAATTAATCAAAATGCATATTCAGTTACAGTTATGGCTTCCTGTGATTATGAAAACTAGATAATTGTGTTAAAGCAATTACTCTGATGCATCCCTTTTCACAAAGTGCTCCTGCTGTGTCCCGTGTTATAAATCAGCTGCGCCTCCTTCCTCCTTTCCTCGGTTAGTGAAGCATCACCGTCTTGGAGTTTGGGATGAGACATTGTGAGCAAGGGTGTGGGTCTGACTCTGAGACCAACTCACACACTCGTTATGTAACAATTTCTGAGTGAAACACCATCAGCTAATATTTCTGATGTAGAGCAGTGGCTCCTCACAAATCTC